AATCAAAAGAACTGAGAATCTTGGCTTTTTCACTTAAAGGCTGTGGAATTTGGGCAAATCTTCTAAACTGCTAACTCATCCTGAACTGAGGAATATAACACACAAAACTGTTATGAGGATTGAACATATGTGACAGTGGTCCATAAACTGAAGAGTCTGTCCACAGGGGAAGTGCCCAACCCCAGGCAAGCATGGTCCCTGGTTGCACTGCTAACCCTGTGTGCATCCATAAGCTTTTTGGAAAGGTCTGAACAACTCATCTGAGGTCCTCACCCTCAGCGAAATGATGAGCTCAGGAACAGGCAAAAGAGGACCCACTGAGAGTCAGCAGTGCCTGATAACATCCCAGGGGACTATAAATGCTCTTTAAATCCTAGGATGCAGAGTTAAGAACTAATGGGGAGCCTTCCTTCAAGGACAATTAGAACTTGAAAAAACAGACAAGTCAAATTGACGTGTCATTAACAGACTGTAACTGATACAATCGTTCCTTAACGCCTTGGAAAGGGAAAGTGGTGAGGGAGAAGGAACCAGTGGGTGGGATGAATCCAGGGAAGCTTCCTGGAGAGGGAACACCAGTAGCCACGAACCATTGCAGAGCTGTCCCTCCCCTAGCCCTCTAAGCAGCACTCTCCATGTAAGACTGAGGACCAGCCACCCCTTCAAACTGTTGGCCCAGAAGAACTGTAGAAAGGAAGAAAATGGCAGCCCAGGAGGTACCTGGAGCTCTGTGACACTTCCTGGGCCAGCACTGTGAGAGAAAACTGTTCCCATTCCAAGTCAACAGTGCAAAGGGCTTCCAAGCCCTATGCCTATCCTGCCAAAGCTCCCTAGCCCTTGTCCTGTGTCCATTTTATTCTTTACAGTCGCCTGCTGCCCCTTTAACCTGTTACATAAGTGGTCACCACTCAGTCACGAGAACGCAAGTACGTAGCTCTGGATACTTCAAGACTGTAATGAGCACACTTCCATCCAACTGCGGGTCCCCAAACTAAAAAGCTGAAATCTCAGACTGGAGCCCAGGAGCCAGGTGCCTCCACTCAGAGAAGCAACCTTCACAGAGTTGTTCCCCGCTGCTCTTTCTTAAACACCCCCAACACAGCTTGTGAAGATGGCCAAGCTGTGCATCAGCATCTGGGCCGTCCTCACACTGTCTTCTCTACCTCCTTCTCTCTTGCTCTGAAGATGCCTGTATCAGGAAGATGTGCACCTCCCGAAAAGATAAGCTAAGCTGAGAAGCAGAAAGAACAAGTCTCCAACTTTCTTGTGATTTATGAATCAGAAGCTGGGTTTTCTCTAAAGAATGCATCTGTGATTGTGGATAAGCCCCAATGTGTCCTTAACACCCTAGACTGCCACATCTTTCTGAAGAATCACCACCCTCCACACACACACACACACACCCACACACACACACGCTCACACACACACACACACACACACACTCTTCCTACATGGAGCCTGCCCACCAGATTGATATTGTGATGATGGTCAGGGAAGCAGGCTAAAATTAAAATTCCACCAGCCCAGTGTCACATCTATAGCTAGTCCTGGATTCGCTGCAGGAGGCTTGTTCATTCTGCACAGTGGCTAAGTTTAATCTGTAGTTCCAAGCTGAAACCCTCCACCCCTAATCATCTGACAAGATCAAATCTCAACCACAGTCAGTCAGTAGGTCTCAAGAGCTCCTTCAATTCCACTGGGATTTGCTAGGTACCTATTAATGCCCAGCACCATGTCAGGCACTGTGTAGCATTTGCTTTAAGGACCATCCCCTCTAAGGATACAAGTATAGGCAAGAACCGTGTCCTAATCTGTCAAACTGCAGAAGTCAAATGTGCTATCAAGGACACTTTGAGGGTTAAGTGTCTAAAGGCTATAAACCTTAAAAATCTGACCTGGCAAGTCTTTAAAAACCCCAAATACCTACGCGTTATTTTGCAATTCTACAAAATCCCATTATTTCCTCACTGATATGATCAAAGGTGATAATCAGTTGCTGTCCACACAGATATCCCACTAGGACTACTGCTTCTGGTCCAGAAAGATAAGAAAGGGAAACCAGGCTCATATAAGCACACATCAGGCAAGGTTAACTCAGGGCTGAAGGCCACAAGATCTGGTACTCAGTACCATGTCACATCAGCCTCTTCTGCATGTTAACTAAATAGTTACAAGTTTTTTCTCATTAAATGCTATATAAGGTGGCAGAGGCAGGCATGGTGTACCAGGTCCATCCCCAACTCTACCAAGAAGATCCATGCACAGCTTTGGAAAGCCTTCTGACTCTGTGATGCTTAGCATGGTGCCCAGTATATTCGTTTTGGCTGGATTAACAAATAAAGAGTTCGCATCTTAAATCTGATAGAAAAAAAATACCCTATATTATTAAAAGAAAATGAACCCCAAAGTCAACATAGGCAATGTGAAGATCAGTCATTTTAGGGGGATCAACTGTACTTGGGGTTCCCCATTTTGTTTGTTTTTTGAGTCAGGGTCTCACTCTGTCACCAGGGCAGTGGTGCAATCTTTGCCCACTGCTGCCTTGACCTCCCATGCACAAGTGATCCTCCCACCTCACCCTCCTGAGTAGTCTGGACTACAGAAACATGCCAGTACGTGCAGCTAATTTTGTTTATTTTTTTGTAGAAATGAGGTCTCACTCTGTTACCCAGGCTGGTCTCAAACTCTTGGGCTCAAGTGATACTCCTAACTCAGCCTCCAGAGTAGCTGGGACTACCGGTGCATGACACCACACCTCATTAATTTTTTTATTTTTTGTAGAGACAGGGTCTTGCTGTGTTGTCCAGGCTGGTCTCAAGCTCCTGGGCTCAAGCAATCCTCCCACTTTGGCTTCCCAAAGTGCTAGAATTACAGGCATAAGCCACCGCACACAGCCCAGTTTCCAAATTTTAGAATTCTACAGAGAAGCAATATCTCCCTCAAAAAAAAAAAAAAAGTGGTAACCATTACACCATTGCAAAATTTTCTTTTTGACATGTAAGGACATAAAAGAAACAACTACAGCCTCATGTCACCATGTCACCATAGCTTTTAAAGGAAGAGGTAGGAAGGCCATGATTTCAGAATTGAAGACTTTCTTAAGAATACCCTGCTGACATCCTTTTACTTGAACACATTAGCAACGGGCAAATGAGGGTCCACGATCAGTGCTAGGAACCATGGTCGACGTGTGCTCCTTTTTCCAATATGGTCCACGTGTGCTCCTTTTTCCAATATGGTCCACGCGTGCTCCTTTTTCCAATATGGTCCACGCGTGCTCCTTTTTCCGATATGGCCCAATGAAATAAAACTGTTCTTTTTTATACCCATAACAATCACTAATCTGGGCCTGTTTCCCTCCAAATTCTCCACACTGCCTCAACTTCAAGCAGAGAAACTTGCCTTCTCCAACAGATCCTGTCTTCTCCCTACTGGGTCTTCTCTAAGGAGGAGAGCACCTGAGTTCCTCTCGGGTTCACCTGGGTTTATGCTGCCCAAACTGAAACCAGTGCCACAAGTTTCTGAAGGCCCCAGTCTAATCAGGATCATTTGGATCATTAAAAGTGCACTATAATTATCAATTTATTATTGGAGCTGTCATTTCAAAACATAACTGGGCAGAGCAAAGTTCGACTGTGGTATCTTAAACAATACCAATTGACTTCCGGTGATGAAAGAAGAAGCATGCCGTTCTGCATGCGCAGAGGTGATGCTCCTGGTCCAGAGTCAACAGGGAAGTTCTGAGTTATTCTCCAAGAAGAATTGGACTTGCCCAATCCCTCCATGGACTCCTTTCTGGCCTTGGTGTCCAAGGGAAGGCCAGGCTGGAAGTAAGGGTGTGCTGTAAAATGATAGCATCACCTTCTACACTTAACACAACTATTTCCTCTTCACATGCCTGTGAAATAGGTATCACTATTCTATTCGATAGACAAGGTAACTGAGGGTCAGAAAGATTGATCATTCCACAGTCAATAATTACTTACTGAGTGCCTCCTATGTGCAGACATTGCGCTAAGAGCTGTGACTCTGCCCAAGGTGACGCAGCTGGCAAGTAGCAAAGGGAGCACCCAACCTGTCACCTAATCTCAAGTCTATTCCATTTGATGACTGCCCCTCAGGCTGAGGTCAGCGTTTTGCCACAAAACACCAGAGGACAACAGAGCCAAAGAGCCATTGTAGGATCACATGGTCCATCTCTTCAGTTTGCTGTGCTACAAGGAAAGTCAATATTGATTATCTTTATCAGACTTTCTCAAATGCCTGCTGCCTCCGGGGACGAATCAAAGTAGCTTCCCATGTCACATTAGTTATAGCACTGTCTATGGTGTGCAGTCCAGAGCTGGGTGCTGGGGGCTCATGCCTCCAGTGGGCAGGACAGAAGCACCCCAGCAATTCACACATGCAATCCTGGGAGAGAAACTTTTGCAAAGAAGGAACGGTTTCTAAAGTTTTGAGGGTTTTTGAGTAGCAGGACCAGAAACCAAACAGTAGGATTTGGAAGGTCCTACTCCTTGGACAAAGAACTGAGATCTCCAGTTTGACTCTCTTAGGGCACCTCAAGACTCTGGGACCTACTCCTCAAGCACAGCCCTGTGGTCACCTGGTATGCGTCCTGTCCCAGAGGTTTCAGAAACAATGTCTGCCATCCACTCTGATGGGCTGACCCCACTGACGAGCCTGCCACACTGTTGCATCAGAGAAGGGGCCAGTCACACAGCAGGCTGCCCATCTCGAGAATGCCAAAACCTTCATGAACAGGCCACCCTGTGCCTGCAATCACAGGGAGGTGGGGCTGACAGCTATGGGTCACGTAACTGAGGCCAAAAACAAGCAGCTGGCCTGGATCAATGGATGAGTCAGGTTTGAGGTATATATAACCTCAGGAGCTCGGTGCTCCTCACATTGCCAGCATCTTCTCTCCTCACTCACCCTTCCTGGTGCTTTGGGTAAGTGTGGGTTCTACGGACTCTCTCATCTTCCCAGCTGGCCTTGCCCAGGCCTGACTAGATTAGATGAACCTCTGCCTTCCCAACAGTGCTCACATTTAGAAGGGGGTCAGGAAGGAAGTGGGGAATTAGCTGCTGCCATGCAGATGGTGTTTCTGGTCTTCTGGCCAGAATGTAAACTCCTCAAAGACAAGACTATCTCCTGCCTCTATGGTACCCCCATAGGGGCAGGCATGGTGCCGGGCACAGGACTCCGCAGAGGCTGTCCAAGGCAGCCTGTGCATGGGCTGAGCGGACCTTGTGAACCTGTCAGGAGGAGAGACTGAGCCCACTCTCAAGAGAGTGGGGAGAATGATTCCAAGAAAGTTGCAGATGGGAGGGATTTGAGGTGCCACAGAAACCCAATTCCTGCTTTACAGAGTCAGAAGTTCTGAGAGGGAAATACTACTTTCTACAATTCAGAGTTGCTTCTACCAAGCTTGGACTTGAGAAAATCATGGAAGAGACGGCTAATAGCTTCTGGTCGGGAATATTGGTCCAAAGGATCACCAGGGTCCTTCCCCTGTTTGCAGGCAGGGCCACAGCAGAGCCTGTCTTTTCTAATAACTAGCCCTTGAATCATGGCTAGACCATGACAGACCAAGAGTCTGAACTAAGGGCTTTTGCAGAGGATAGAGTGCAACAGCCCTCAGCAGAATGGAGTCCAACAAATCTCCCTCTGTTGTGCTGGGAATGGGTAAAACCCCCATCCTAGATAAAGGTTTGTGGTAGTTTTCTATTTGCACTCAGAGAATCAGTGTTGGGATTGGAGGAGGCCTGAAAGATGAAGTGTCCAAACCCTTCCATTTAAGAGGAGATGAGAAACACGTGGGATTGGGAGCCATCAGCCCTCAAATCACACAACATTGGTCAGAGGCAGAGCTGGAATAAAGAATGGGCACCGCTAACTGAACTGTTTAAAGCTTAGTGAAGGCTTTCTGCGGGGGAAGGAGGAACTCAACGCTTCCAAAAGCAGGAAACGTGGGAATCCCAGCTGAGGGCTCTCCGGGCACCTGAAGGAGCCCTGGACCTGGCGCAGGAGGGCGCTGGGAGGATGGCGATGTTGCCATGGATGCAGCTGCCTCCGTAAGCATCTTCTTGCAGCTGGTCCAGCGATGCTCTCTTCTCTCCTTCCAGGCTCCCCTTCCTTCTTAGCCAAGATGTCTTATCAGAAAAAGCAGCCCACCCCGCAGCCCCCAGTGGGCTGCGTAAAGACCTCCGGCGGCGGCGGCAGCGGTGGCGGCAGCGGCGGTGGCGGCTGCGGCTTCTTTAGCGGCGGAGGCTCCAGCGGGGCCAGCGGCAGTTCTGGCTGCGGCTACTCCGGCGGCGGCGGCTCCGGCTGCGGCGGGGGCTCCTCCGGCGGCGGCGGCTTCGGAGGCGGCTCCGGTGGGAGCAAGTACTCCGGCGGCACCGGCTGCGTCTTACACTCCGGCGGCGGCTCCGGGTGCGGCGGGGGTTCCTCCGGTGGCGGCAGCGGCTTCGGAGGCTCCAGCGGGGGCTCCGGTGGGAGTGTCAAGTACTCCGGGGGCGGCGGCTCCTCCGGGGGCGGCTCCGGCTGCTTCTCCTCCGGGGGCGGCGGCTCCTCCGGGGGCGGCTCCGGCTGCTTCTCCTCCGGGGGCGGCGGCTCCTCCGGGGGCGGCTCTGGCTGCTTCTCCTCCGGCGGCGGCGGCTCCGGTTGCTTCTCCTCCGGCGGCGGCGGCTCCTCCGGGGGCGGCTCCTCCGGCCAGGCGGTCCAGTGCCAGAGCTACGGAGGCGTCTCCAGCGGCGGCTCCTCCGGGGGCGGCTCCGGCTGCTTCTCCGGCGGCGGCGGCGGCGGCGGCGGCGTCTCCGGCTGCGGCCACCCCGGTGGCGCCTCCAGCTGCAGCGGGGGCTCCTCTGGCGGCGGCGGCTCCGGCTACGTCTCCTCGCAGCAGGTCACCCAGACCTCGTGCGCGCCCCAGCAGAGCTACGGAGGGGGGTCGTCCGGCGGCGGCGGCAGCTGCTTCTCCAGCGGCGGAGGCGGCGGGCGCTCTGGCTGCAGCGGCGGCTCCTCCGGAGGCTGTGTCATCAGCGGCGGGGGCTCCGACTGCGGCGGCGGCTCCTCCGGCGGCTGCGTCATCAGCAGCGGGGGCTCCGACTGCGGCGGCGGCTCCTCCGGAGGCTGCGTCATCAGCGGCGGGGGCTCCGACTGCGGAGGTGGCTCCGGGAGTGGCAAGGGCGTCCCGGTCTGCCACCAGACCCAGCAAAAGCAGGCGCCTACCTGGCCATGCAAATAGGTCCCCCAGGGTGCCACAGAGGCGAAGGAGTTGGAGGTGTTCTCTGTGGGCGCCGATGGGCTTAGAGCTCTCATGATATTGTCAAAGGTTTGCAAATCCTTCACGCCTTAACCTACCTGGAAGAAGCCTTTGAGCTCTTGTTCAAAACAGCGGCATCTTGTTCTGCCGTTTTTGCCTCTTTGGTTTCTGCACAACTACCTCCCAACCCCAGTGCCTCGCTCAATAAATTTGCAAAATCATGAGAATTTGGGTCTCCAAGAGTGTTTGCAGCGTTCAAGTTCATCCATTCCATTCCATTCTTCTCCTTTCCTGCATTCGCTCATTCAGACTTACATTCATTCTACAAATACACGGACTCTATTGGTAGGAGGGTGAGTGGAGAGATGGGAGTCGCCAGGAGAGGAAGGAAAGGCTGGCAAACCACGGTCAAACATGTGAAGATCCTAGTGTACGGCTTAAAATCATGACGTGATCCCAAAACACAAAGATCCTGAGGAAAGCCTTCAATAAACACCTCCCTGTGGATTGGGTAACCACTGTGGGTCTCCTTACTAAACTCTGCTTTTTAAAGACATGCTGCGCCCTGGAAAGATGCTGTCTCTCATAGTCCAGAGCCAATTCTGCAAGGTCTGAAAGCTGGATGGCTGCACGTTAGGAGCACCAGCTTATGCTACCAGACTCACCAGAGAAATAATAAGCATATCAGATGTTTACAGACCTCTAATCTAGGGCAAGCAAGACCACTTTAGTAGGTATCCATAGGGAGAGGAGGAAGTAGGGGAGCTGTTTCCTGCTCTCTCTCTTTTTTTTTTTTTTTTTTATTTCAATCAACTTTCTCAGGTTGATTGTTTCCTGCTCTCTTGAAGGAGCTTTCCTAACTTAGGAAGATGCAGCATAAATATAAATGTAAAACCTCAGCACCAGAGAGAAGTCATGGAAAACACAAGAGCTTTCCAATAAACAAGGAAGAAGCCACAGTTGCTCCAAGGGATATATTAATTGCATAGCCCTCAAAAGAGATGTAGAACATCAGCCTGGCCAGGGACTTTCCAGGTTCAGTTTCATATCCCAATTTTACCAGCTCTAGTTAAACGGGAATTTACTGATTTACTGAAGAAAAACTCCTGTGACATCAAAAAGCCAAAATACTCTTCCTACTCAATCACTGCTGGTATTAAAAAAAAAAAAAAAAAAAAAAAAAAAAAAAAAGTTATCCCTCCTCCACTCTTCCATTTAGGATCACCACTATTCATCATTTTACATCAGTAATTTATGGAGATCAAAACAGATAGCAGTCTTAAAGATCCAGGAGTCCAACCACTGCATTACTTTTACATTTTTTAACAAATGAAACTCAGACTTTCAGTTCTGGACAAAATGAAGTATTTGTATTTCTTACTATTGCCCCGGTGAAGGAGAACTAAAATCTCTGGGCATAATATATATAACAAGCATAAGAAGACTTTGAAAGGTGGAGAGGACAAGACAGAGTAGCTAGAGTCCTCAGAACTGAAGGACTGACAATGGTAAGTTTCCTGGGTTTTCTTTTTGCCTCCTATGTTTCCCAGATTGGGCACTAGAAAATCTGCAACCAAGATTCTGGCAGGTGCAGACAAAAAAAACAGCACCAAGAAAATTGTCTTGCTTTTGCCAAAAGACCAGGAAAGGGGTGGTCTGGCAAAACAGAAACCTTTCTGACAATATTTGCCCTACTTCAACCAAACACAATGAGGAAAAATGAACAAACATCCTGGACTTCCACCATAGTAGGGAGTCCACATGGACTTACTCAGAAGTTGCTAAACTCTCCCTCACCTCACTAGTGTGGTATTAGCAGAAGTCTGCTAATATAGAAAATTTAAACAAGATCTGGAGTCTCATAGCAAAATGCCCAAAGTGCATAATGCACATAATAAAAATTACTCATCATACCAAGAATCAGTAAAAAAAATCTGAACTTGAATGATAGAAGAAGCATTCAACAGATGCCAACAGTGAAATGACACAGGTTTTGAGATTATGTTAGGGGTTTTTGTTGTTGTTGTTGTTATTTTGAGACAGAGTCTCATTCTGTCGCCCAGACTGGAATGCAGTGGCCCAGTCTCAGCTCACTGCAACTTCCGCCTCCAGGGTTCAAGCAATTCTTGTGCCTCAGCCTCCTGAGTAGCTGGGACCACAGGTGCATGCCACCATACCTGGCTAATTTTTGTTTTTGTTTTTGTTTTTGTTTTAGTAGAGACAGGGTTCTGCCCTGTTGACCAGGCTGGTCTTGAATTCCTGGCCTCAAGTGATCTGCCCGCCTCAGCCTCCGAAAGTGCTGGGATTACAGATATGAGCCACTGCCACCATGCCCGTCCTTATCTGTTAATTTTAAAGAAGCCATTATTAAAATGCATCAATAAGAAATTACAAACACACTTGAAACAGTAAGAAAATAGAAAATATTGGCAAATAAACAGAAGATATAAAAAGAATCAAATGGAAATTTTAGAAATAAAAATATAATCTATTATAAAGTTAAATTTTAGAACTGGAAAATAAAAAATTTATTAGATAGGCACAATAACAGAATGAAGATGACAGAGTAAATAATCAATATCCTTCCACTTTCCACTATTCTACCCCCCAGAGAATACAGCAACAGGCACTATCTTACACGCAGAAAGAAGCCCTCACCAAATAATCAAACCTGTTAGTGTCTTGATCTTGGCCTCAAACCTATGAGAAATAAATCCCCAGCCTAAAAAACTCTGAGAAACAAGTTCCTGTTCAAAAATAGATCAATAAAAATTATTCCATCTCAACAAAGTAGACTGGGGAAAAAAACAGAGCCTCAATAACCTGTGGGACAACAAACGTGCTAGAATTCATGTCATCAGAGTCCCAGAAGGAGAGGAGAAAGGGTGTGGTACTGAAACATAGTAGAAATAATGGCTAAGAATTACCCAAATTTGGTGAAAGTAATTAACCTACAAATTCAAGAAGATGAGTGAAACTCAAACAGGATAATCCCAAATAAATCCACACTAAGAAACATCATAATCAAACATCTGAAAGCTAAAGACAAAGAAAAAATCTCGAAGAGAATTTTGAAAGCAAACATTAAAAGTAGAGAAAACTGATACATCACTTATAGAGGAACTATCATTTGAATGGCGGCAAATTTCTTGTCAGAAACCAAGAAGGCCAGGACAAAGTGTCACCGCAGCTTTCAAGCGCTAAATGAGAAGAACTGTCAACCCAGAATTATGTATCCAGTGAAAATGTCCTTCAGAAATGAAGGTAAAACAAAGATGGTTTCATATGAAAGAAAAATAAGAAAATGTGATGCCAGCATATTCATCCTGAATGTGTGGCTAATAGAAGTTTTTCAAACAAAAAAGAAATGACAGAAACCAACGTGTAACATCAGGAATAAAGGAAGAACAATGTGAAGTCTAAAACTATAGGACAGCATCTTTTTCCTCCTGAGTTTTTTTAAATTATATTTGATAGTTGAAGCAATAACCATAACATTGATATGGTTCTTAATGTATGTATAGAAAATGTTTAAGACAGTTATATCAGAAATCAAGAAGTAAAGGGACCTAAATGGAAATAAGGCCTGCAGTTCACTCAATGATAAAATGTCCATACCAATAGACTATGATAAGTTATGTACATACAATGTAATACCCAAAACAGCCACTAAAAAACCTGTATACATACAAACAGATCCACTCAAAAACACTACAGGTGAATCTGAATACATTTTTAATGAGTGTAAATTTTTACTGTAGTATAGTATATACATATATACAAGGCACAAATTATAAGTGACAGCTCAATTAACTTTTACCAAGTGAACTCATCCCAATAATAAATCTCAGAAGCCTTCTTTATTCCCTTCCCAGTCATTAGCTCACTTAAAGATACCATCAGATTATGCTAGTTTTTGAAAGTTTAATATAAAGACATATAACCTTCATATATGACATCATATATGTCATTTTTAGAATTTATATTTAATTGAAAGATAAAAATTATATATTTTTGTGTAAAACATGTTTTGAAACATGTATATGCTGTAGAATGGCTAAATATAACCAAATAACATAAGAACTGTTTCATGTACTTATAATTTTTTGTGGTAAGAACACCCAAAATCTACTCTCTTAGCAATTTTCAATCATACAATACATTGTCTTTAACTATAATCACTATATTATAAAATATGTCTCTTGAACTTATTCTATCTAACTGAAATTTTGTGTCCTTCAACCAGCATCTCCTCCGTGCTTCCCTTCCCCACCTCCAACCACTGGTAACCCCCATTCTACTCTCTTTTCCTATGAGTTCAACTTGTTTAGATTCCATGTCGAAGTGAGATCATGTGGTATTTGTCTTTCCATACCTGGCTTATTTCTCTTAACATAATATCCTCCAGATTCATTTTTGTTGTCCCAAATGACAGGATTTTCTTCTTTTACACATCAACATTACAATATTAAAGCATTTTAAATTTGACATTTGATACTTTTACCCTGCGAGTTTTATACTTTCATACGTTTTTGTGTAACTAACCAGTGTCCTTTCATCTTAAAGAATTCCCTTTAGCATTTCTTGTAATATAGGTCTGGTGGTGATTAACTCCCTTGGCTTTTGTTTGTCTGAGAGTCTTTGTATGTCCTTCATTTCTGAAGGGCAGCTTTGCTGGATATACAGTATTCTAGGTTGATAGTTTTGTTTTTTTCTTCAGCACTTTGAATATATTATCCCACTCTCTCCAGGCCTATGAGGTCTCTGCTGAGAAATCCACTGTAATCCTTATTGGAGATCCTTTTATATTATTTTCTTCTATTCTTTTGCTGCTTTCTGGATTCTTTGTCCTTGATTTTTGACAGTTTGATTATAATATGTCTTAGTTAGTCTTGTTTGGATTGTATCTGTTTGGAGACATTTGACTTTCCTGAACCTGGATATTCATATCTCTGTCCAAATTTGTAAAGTTTTTTGTAATTTTTTAAAATAAGCTTTTTATGCACTTTGTCTTTCTCTTCTCCTTCACAAACTCCTGTAACTTGAATATTTTCTCTTTAGATACTGCCTCATAAATTCCATCAGCTTTCTTTGTTCCTTTTCAATCTTTTTTGCTTTTCTTCTCTGAGTAAATATTTTCAAATAACCTGTCCTTGAGTCCACAGATTCTTTCTTCTGCTTGATTAATTATGCTGCTGATGCTCTCTATTTTATTTTTCATTGCATT